CAGTGGCGCCGCGCCGCCCAGCAGCCCACGCGGCCCCTCACGTGCGCGCCGCCTTCCGGGGCGGGGCCCGTGCGCATGCGCCCCGCGCGGAGCCAGCCCGGGTTAAACGGTGCCAACGGTTGTTTAAATAGAGCCGCGTTTACCGCAACATTTGGAACGGTGTAGTGCTACAAACGTGGGCGTCGTGAATAAAAATATGATTTTATTTCAATAAATAGTAGTACAGTCTCAGCACCCGCCTCGGTGCCTGTATTCTCTATATTCATTCTCTAGTTCACAAACGAAGTGGTGGAGCAACTCCTACCAACAATGGCACGCACTTGTCACACACGTTGCTATTCACATGCAGCTCTTAACAGTAAAAACGCCCCACACGGGGGACTAAGAAGCCTGGACACTTTGCCTGAAGGAGGACACATCAGTTACTTTACAGGTGCCAAAATACTCATTCACCACCTTGAACTCATGTTTTTGGCAGTGCTTCACAGTCAGATTGCTGCACACCTGCTTGTGATGTGTTAAAAAGCACAAATTCATTTAAAAGGGCATTATGTATGGTTGTACAAAATAGCACCAGTTAAAAAGGAACAGTAAGTAACACTTTCAACTTTTACATCCCATTTATTCTAAACCATTCAAAAATATCTAAAAAACATAATTTCCACTGAAGCTGTGGGCAGAAGTCCGAGTCCAGTCTGCACAAGATCAGCACAAATCCACCCCATACCCAGGATTTTGTGGCTTTTCTCCACCCCGCAGGCTGGTTGGGCTCGGAAACGCTGAGCTCAGTTTGCCCACACGGCGACAGGAGCAAGGAGCCCACCTCTGCCTGGCCAGGCCTGTGCGTAGCCCGAAAGGCTGCTGTCCTCAAATAGAGGGCAGGAAGCGGCCCACAAAGCCTGGGAGGTTACGTTAGCGCTTCCCTCGTTCTTCTGTTCATCCACCTACCCACGGCTGCCAGCGACAGGGTATCAGGCTAAACAAACCTGAGGTCAAGCCTTTGTTTTGCTCTTCAGCTCACCTGCCTGGGCCACACATTTCAAGCAGCCTCAAGGTTCAGCTCCTCCAACCCGTTTCCATTTTGGAGTCTTTAAACAAATCCCATTTGACTCTAAATAGCTCCCAGTGGGCCTGTTAACTGAGCCAAGCTCTGCAGCAGGGCACACGTGCGCAGCTGACACATTGGGGTGACACACCAAGACAGCAGAACAAGAACTACATACACACACCACAGAAACCCACATCAAAGCTCTGAGCTCACTGCATCCTGATACCGCTAGTCAAATGCAAGTGGGAAATACAATAAAGATGTGAAAGAACAAAGATACTCAAAGTGCTTCCAATTAAGAGGAAGAAACATTATAAGCTCAGGGCTTACCAACTTGGGAAGCTCCTAAAACACACCTGACATTCAATATAATCAAAATTTTCATTTTTGGTGGCAGTGCTGGTGTACAAAGCTCCCACAGGCACTGTCTAGCCCTGCCTTGTCCCTCCCTCTTGTGCTGGCGGCTGTTATTGGTGTCACTTTATCAGCTGTATTCTGGCACTGACCCAGGCTAAAACAGTCTCTCTGCTCCCACATGTTGTTTCTTTATTTAGACAACTCCTGCAAAGTTGGTCTGAGCGTGGCCTACCAAACAGCCCTACTGCTTGAGCACAGGAACAGGAGAAGGAGCAACAAGTCCTTAACCCAGCAAAGGTACTGGCACAAATGTTCCCTAAAGCCCCCTCCAAAGCAGCCAGGAAGGTCTGGATATTTTTTTACATTCCATGCAACCCGCTTGCCTCTTTAGGCAACTACACTACTTCTCTGAACTGCAGCACTGGGTCTCCAATAGCTCTGCAGGAAAATAATGAGCAGGTGCTTCCCCCTGTGCGGTGCTTGAGTGGCAGGAGGAGGGAGGAATGTCCTTCCAACTCGGGAACAAAATTTCTTTTTTTTTTTTTTTTTACAAGCAGAAACTACATCTTCATACAGCAGTTAACTGTGTCACGTACCAGTGTCTTACAGAAATGCCTATATAAACCTATCCCCAAGAGATCTCAGCAGGGAACATGCACAGCCTACAGATAGATTTTCTACCTCATCCTTCTTGCCTTCTGCAACACTGCAGCAACCCCAGCCCTGCTTGATGTTCACAGGATACTCATTTCAGCCTCCCTTTCTCCTTTATTCTACTACCAGTTTTCATAAAACCTGGAGAATTTCTGGTTTGAAAGCTACATTGCTCTGTGAAACATGACTGAACACAGACGAGATTCAAGACTTAGAGGGGAGCTGACACAGAAAACGCAAAAAGACAGTCCAGCTCTATCTCACTCCTTAAAGGGCCAGACTAATAACTAGCTACACATTACAGTGTCTATACAAGGTATGAGGACACAACAAACCCTAAGAAATCCCAAGAATTAATGATTCAGGGTCAACCAAATGCATGCGTGTTAGTACCTGACACACGACAGGACGTGAAACAGGCTGGTGAGAAGGCTGGTGATGGCAGAGGCAAACAGCCTGTATTTAAACCTGACGTATGGATTCTGCTTTCTGCTGGCACTGGCTTGCCACGCTCGGGGTCTGCCTGCAGTGAAGAGCTGGCAGTGTCATGATCCTTCTCCTACATCCAGCAGGTCTCTAGACAGAAGGTGAAGTTCCCATACCACATATTGAAAGAAAGAAAGAAATCCAGTGGATCAATTAGCATTAAATTGCTACATATATAATTTTCTGTGAAGTTTCTTCATTTGTTGCCTTTCTTTCAAGCCACAGTTTAGCACTTTGTGCATTAGTTTTCCTGAAGCAGAGCAATGCTCTGCAGAGCAAAACCATTTGAGAAACATAATTTTCACACTAAAAAGGGCCTTTGGGAAATGAAAAAAGAAGTCTCTCCATTGCTTTGCGATAGGCTCTTGGCTGATTCACAGGTATTGCTGACTAATTTCTGAGAAAAGCCTATAAGTGTTATAGCTATCTTTGCAGTCATATTTAAGATGTATGTCTTCAGGGAATGGAAAGAGCAAGGCAGAAAGACTGGAATATTCCTAAAATCTTTCCCAAGATACAAACATCTCTATTTTATTTAACACCACTCTCTCTTTTCCAATGTGCTAAACTGTGACTTGGAAGAAAGGCAACTCTTTGTGCCTTCTCTCTTTGTGCTGCTGGGCTGCCACATATCATTTCTTCCTCCATGCACTCCTCTAATTTCATCATCTTAAGGCAGATTTGGAGGAATAATTAGATTTGGAGCATAATTGTCTGATACTTCTGGATGTGGTAACTCAGTCCTGAAAGTGATACTGCTGTGCATGTACCACATGCTTGTGCTGTGACAATCAACAATATCTATAACTATCTTCACAGTATCTGAGATTTCATCTTAAGCCCATTTGTACACTGAAATGTATTTTGTTTGGTTTTACTCACCTTAGCACCAGACTATAGTTCCACACAGATGCTAATGAAAACAAATTCAGTTTTTCACAGTTGTTCCTATGTAGCAACACAAAGGATTGTACAAAAATCAAATTCAAAATTCAAAAACTTTTATGACCGAGATTGTTTGGACTGAAAATATATGAAAATATTGTCACTGCATTTATCTTTGAATCTGTAAACCTGTGAATTATTGAATCAATATGAATACGAATCTGTGATTCATATAGAACTCATTTAAAATAAATACAGTTTAAATAAATAAGTTTTTAATGAAAATCACCTAGAGGATTATGTTAGATATCTGACTGATGAGGCAATCAGTATTACTATGAATACTGTGTATCTTCTGTTTTCTATAACAGTAATCTGGAAATTATATCTTAGACATTATACACACAGACACAGCCATGTGACCGCATAGGACTGGGGAGGTTACCTACTGCTTCCCATTTATTAAGTTCAGGGTTGTATTTCTCAATACTCTGTAGGTACGTTCCTTTCGAATAGGAATATCCTCCCGTTACATAGATGCATCCGTTCAGAACCACCGCGCCACACTCCATCCTCCTCTCCAGCATGGGAGCCATCTGCTTCCATTCGTTCTGCTCAGGGTCATAGCAGTCCGTGATCGTGGTCTGTCCACCCACAAAATAGATCTTGTTTTGTAAGGTAATTGAACACAATCCATATTCTTCAGGAAGAAGGGAATATAGTTCAACTCAGAATTATATAGTTAACTTAAGAAACACTATGCAGTTTACCAAACTGCATCACAATGCAAGGCATTTTAGAAGACATACACATGATCACCAGTAGTTAGTAAGACTATCCTCAAAAACTTGTTGTTACAAAATGCAGAAAATGGAAAGAATTATATATTTTTTGCCAAATACCTATGAATAGACAGATTTTATGAAAATAAGCTATTTAAGAGACACAGCCCTTTCTAGGACAATATCTAGATAGATCTTTCATGAGAGGTCTCCTTCTCTCAAAGCCTGGAAATGGAGATTATCCCACAGGGTCAAACAACGACGCTGGATCTTTCTGCTCCTGCTTCTTCTAACAGAAAAATGTTAGAAATGCTCTAAGAGGGCTTAACGATTAAAGCTAGAGGCAAAAAAAACCCAAAACCCAAGCTCTGCACTCATGAGAGAAATGCTTGTTTACCTGGATGGGGACTTGTGGCGACTATACTCCACTCATTGCTGCCTGAATGGTACCTCTGGATCTTATCATAGGTGCAGCTTCCCCTGTACCCGTAGTGACCTCCAGTCACGTAGATGATTTCATGCAAGACGCAGGCGGTGGCGTTTCCAACTCCTGCACACAGTATTAAAGCCAAAACACACCTTCAGGCTTCACAGAATAATCTCTGCCACTACACCATTTCAAATGACTTGCTAGTTAATATTTTAGGATGAAAAGATGCTTTCAAGTATGCAAATGAATATGCAATTAAATTAACTGTCAGGATATCTTATCAGTATGAGTTAAAAGAAATTAAATAAAATTGTATTAACTGGCACACGGTGTTGCAAATAATATAACCACACAAATTTTCACACATTAGTCACACGGGTTCTGGAATAGGAAACTACCTTCAGTATTTTACTAAATTAGATAAATCTTCTAAAGTCATCACTCATTTGGCAAGAAATAAGTCAATGAGAGGTGAGATTATTCAGTGTCTCAGAATATCTTTGGTGATAGTTTTAGCCTTAGTTAATGATGCTATTGTACAAACAAAACCACAAACAGAATGGGGCTACGTTCACTTTATCTCCAGAAAAATGTAAAAAAACTAAGGCATTTGCAAAGAAAAATGGACAAAAATAGGAAGAAAATACCGTATTTTTTAAGCTTATGAGAAAAAGCTTTGCATAGAAAATGCAGCCAAACATCTGCACAGAATGTATGACCCTGCTCAGAGTATTAGGGTAGTATTTCTACTTTTCTAAATTAAATAGGAGTAATATTCAATGTTAATATATTTTCCATAAACATTGCTAAACTGATTTACAATAAAAGCATTTTCCTATTTATAGACACGTTTGACATCTCTCATTCATGTATAAAAGTATCTAGCTACAGGACAGCTTTGTAAAATACTTAATAACTAATTATTAATAATTATGTTATATGAATTACATGACAAAGTGTATGATTGTTTACAAATTTTATAATACAAATAATATACTTCGCTATGGCTGTGATCCATATTTGTATATTTGTAGTAACTAACTAGTTTGGCTGCTAAAAAGGAGGTATGGGTATTTTTCATTATCTTCACACTAGAGCGAAAACCTAGGATTCTGAGCAGATGATACACTGAGAAATGAGAAAATTACTTGTAAAAAACTTTAAAAGAAGAAAGCACATCTATAAATAACTGCACTGAAAACCTTAACAATCTGAACTAAAGTTTCTGTCAGATTATCCTGTTTCAAGCAAAGAATTTTACCTTCCATCCTTCCATTAGGAATGTAAGTCATTAGATTCTATATGATAATGAAATAATGCAATCCCTTTCTCGGAGCTTGGTTCTTGAAGCTCTACTGGAGGGACAACAGTCCCAGAGAGTCTTCTGTTTTCTTTCTAACCTGCACAAAAACTTTGCTCCTGGAAATGGACAAAATTAAACTGAGATGTGGCCACCAGTGTTGGTGACCTCCCCCAGTTCCCAGCGCGGGATTTGGGTGTTTGCAGTGGTTTGGCTAGCGAGGACCTCAACCGAAGTCCACCAGAACAATAGGAAGCTTCCCAGTGACTTCAGCAGAACTTGATCATACCTGAAACACATCTGCAGCCTTTGTAAGTGGCATCAGCAAAAGGACAGACATGAAGGCAGCAGTGGTATAAAATCTTACGTACCTTTGATCATGTTTGCAATGGGAACCCATTTCTTTTTTAAAGGATCATAGAACTCGGCTTCTTGCACCGGAGCTCCCTTCCTGTAGCCCCCCAGCGCGTAGATGCAGCCCCCCAGAGACACGGCGCAGTGATAGTATCTGGCATCAAGCATGGGGCAGCCTTCTGTCCACTCATCTTGCTCGCTGTTATAAATCCACACGGTGTCGAGGGCCTCAATGCTCTCGGTTCTGTAACCTCCCGTCACATAAATGTTGGGGCCCAAGTTGGTGACCCCGTAGCTCTCCCTGGTGTGATCTGGCATGTCCGTCCCCTGGACCCAGGCATTGGTTAAAGGGTCCCAAACGTGCACTTCTGACAGGGGGTGCCAGTAATATCCTCCGATCACATACATGACTGCCGTGGGCCTTTTGGGAACGCCTTTGCAGTTGGGGTTTAGCGCATTGTATACGAGTGCCCTGATCTTACTATCATTTAGTCGGCATTTTTTCTGTATGCTTAGAGCTGATCTTAAATACGCGTTATCCAAATCTATTTTGACGCAGCTCAGCAGTTCATAGATGTACTCGATTCTTTCTTCCACGTTGTGCGCAACCCACTTAACGACGGCATCGATGGCTGTCTTTTCTTGCCAAACGTTGAGGTTCTCTCGGGAGAGAATAAAGAAGAGCTGCTCCTTGCCCACCTCCAGAAATTCCTCCTGCTTCCACACGTCCTCGAACTGCCCCAGCAGTATCCGCCGCGACTCCTTCTCCAGCTCAGAGCAGTGGTGGTACTCGGCAAAGGAGTGCATCCCGATGCAGTTGTCTGTGTCCAAGCGCCTAACCAGGAACCGCTCGCAGGCTTTCTTCACCGCCACGAACTGCAGCAAATCCGCAGCCTCCAGCAGGCTCTGCACGTTCCTCTCCGTTATCTGGATCTGTGCCGTGTACGCGTAGTTCACGAGTGCTTCCAGGACGGCGTGGCTCAGCCCGGGGAGCCTGACCTGCTTTTTGGACTTCTCCTTCATGTCTGCGGTGAACATGGCTCTGAAGTAGCTGCTGCATTCTTCACCGCCACGAACTGCAGCAAATCCGCAGCCTCCAGCAGGCTCTGCACGTTCCTCTCCGTTATCTGGATCTGTGCCGTGTACGCGTAGTTCACGAGTGCTTCCAGGACGGCGTGGCTCAGCCCGGGGAGCCTGACCTGCTTTTTGGACTTCTCCTTCATGTCTGCGGTGAACATGGCTCTGAAGTAGCTGCTGCAGGCGGCGAGCAGGGCGCGGTGGCAGTGCAGGAGGCGCCCCGAGCCGCTCTGCAGCGCCACGTCCGTGAAGAGCCCGTCCCGGGGGAAGG